TGCATGGATGTAACCAAGCTTCTCCACTGCCCATCCCTGCCCCACGGAGAACCCATGGCCTCACGCATGCATGCTAGGGGAGAGCTTGACCACGGAGTACTCCTCCCAGCGCTCTTTGTCTTTCACTTCTTATTTAGAGATGAGATCTTACTAACGTGCCTAGGGCAACCTTGAACTCATTCTGCAGCCCAGGCAGGTCTTGCCGTCTTCCTGCCTCTGCCTCCCAAGTAGCTGGGATGACAGGCCTACACCACCAGGCTTGGCACAACTGGGGCTTTTTTAGGCGGCCCTTAAGCATCTGTCCCCTCTATAGTTTACCTCCATCCCCAGAGGAAATGGGCCTGAGCGCCCCGGGTCTGACGGTGGGTAGAAGTCGGAAGTCAGGAAGCCTTCGGCAGCAGAGTACGGGCAAGGGCTGTCTGTGTAGGCAGCATGGGTGCTAGGGTCCCAGTCTGGAAAGCCTGAAGGAGGAGGAGCCAGGTTGCCAGAATCCACGGTCTCTTCGAAGGTCGAGAAGTGAGTATGACCTGGAAGTAAGAGGGTGGGCAGGGATCAGAGACTGGGAGACACAGCCAGGGATGGTGAACCTGGAATGTCCCAAGGGACTGTGAGCCAGGACTTTGGAGACACTGAGGAGCTGGGTCCTCCAGTCCTGGGAAATCAACAATTTGGTCCAAAGCAACTGGGATCTGGACTCCTGGAATCACAAAACTCTGGGTCCTTGAGGGACTATGCGCATGGACTACTGGGCTACTGAAAACCAATGTGAAATTGCAGGGGTTTCTGTTTTGTTTTCTTTTTGGAGACGTGTCTTAGATAGCTCTAGATGCCTAGAACTCACTAGTAAACATCATGATCTCAAACCCAACGGCAATCCTCCCTGCTCAACTTCTGGACTACTGGGAATACAGGCATGTGCAACTATGGTGGGCTGGACTCCTCAGTCCCCAAGTTCTAAGAGCTGGGGTGTCTAAGTGTCTAAGAGAAGTTGGGGCTGGGAATTTTCTATTCTTACCCGCCTCTGCCTCCTTCACAGATGGGGTCAGTGGCTGGGCCAGGGGAGGGGAGAAGTGCCCCTACAATGTAAAGAAAATACAAACATGAGTGAATTTATGTATCTGGAATTTAAGGTCTGTTCCCCACCTGTAGAAATCAGAGTTAGGACTACAGCTCCCATATCCCCGAGCACACATAGCTTCATGTGTGGTCTTATAGAGAAGGACTTGCAGAGACTCACCGGTACCCCACCAGCCTCAGATTGCTGCTGACGGCGCCTCTGTTCTTCCAAGAGCTTCTTCACCGTCTGGGTTGGGCAGTGGCTGCGCTCAGTCCGACTCACTGTGTGGGGGCAGACAGACGGAAGTCATCAGGAATGTTTAAGTCACCCAAATGTACCCTTAGCGGCAGCAGTGGGCGGAGAAGAGTAGATGTGGGCGCCCTTCTTTCCCTCCCGCGCGGAAAAACTGGCACATTGATGCTGCCGGAGAACTACAAAGCCAATAGAAGCTGTTGAGTACAGGGCCCGCCTCCGCCACTTCCTTCCTTTTACTCCACGCTTTTCCTCTGCCCCAACTTTCCACCGGCGTAGTGGAAACTGAGGAAGTGGGGAGGCTAGCACTGCTCTGAAGCATCTGTTTCCTCCACGTCCCACTCCTCTGAAGCATCGCCACATCCGTAAAAAATCCCAACCTAGGATATCGGATCCTGAGGCTTGGAGTGGAGGGCTGGGGGTCTGCTAATCTCTACTTCCTGAAAAAGCACATACAGGTTCCTAATATCTCTGTTTTAAATTAGGAGTGGCAGCACTCCCGCAATCCCAGCATTCTCGAGGTGGTGGCAGGAGCACCAGGTGCTCAAGGCCAGTCTCATCTACATACTAAGTTAGAGACAGCCTGGGCTATCTGAGACCCGGTCTCAAAACAACAACAAATTATTTTTCTGTTCTAGAATCTGACATGTGGGGCTGGAGGCGTGGCTCCGTGGATTAGGTATCGGCCAAGGGTCCTTAGCACTGAAGAAGGGAGCTGCTACTCTGGAGACCACCACTCTTGTCTCATCCTCTCTGCCAGGATCTACGAAATCAGTAGCCACTAGCTCCTCAGGAACCCGGGGATCTGGAGTGGCAAAGTTCCCGCCCCCAGAAGTTGCGGGGACCCATCATCCCGCAGATGGCCATGCATCCCATAGGTGCAGCATCCTCTCATCCAGAACTCAGGAGTTCGGATCCTCAGTCTCCTTCTCTGGAACCTGGAAGTCCGGTTCCCACGACCCAAGAAGAGAAAATCCCCCAGCTCAGGTTTCCGAGCTTAGACTCCGGCGCGAGAAGGGTTAAGCCGCCGATCGACTCGGAAACCTTCGAGACTGGACGCCACGCGCTGACGTCACCGCGCTCACGCAAGGGAATCTTCCACCTCCCAGTTCCGCTCCAGACTCGAGCTGCAGGTGTCCTGCTCCGAGGCGGGGCGCTCAGCGAAGCGCTGCGCCCGTGGAATCCCCGCTCACGGGGAATTCCTGTACTGCACCGGCCGTGCTCTGGGAAATCCCAGGGCGGGGCGAGTCCCGATCAGAATGGACCCCTCAGGTCCAGCGCCGGACCTTCGGGACCCAAATCTGCAACCATAACTGCACCTCAACAATGCAGTGCCACCCCCTCCTAGAAGGAAAACTCCGGGTCCCTTCGTCCTCTTACAGGACCCCAGGATCAAGCCTCCCAGCCCTTGCATCCCAACCTCCAAGATTCCAGATCGCTCTCTTAATTTCCAACACTCCCAAGACTCAGGAGTCCAGAATCTTCAGCCAGCTCCCTTAAACGTTGAGGACAACCCTACTCTCAGGGTCCAGTTCAGTGCTCCAGTCAACCCTCAAGCGCTCAAAAAGTCGCGTGCCTCGCTTTACCCCATCCTTACCTCGCGGATTCTTTGGTCCAGATTGCGGGCCCCCAGGGCCGCGACCTCGGCGCTGCGCCAGCCTCGCTGCTTCTCCCGCGGAGCCGCCGCCGGGTCCCCGATCTAAAGCCAGGATCCCCGCGAGTTTTTAAATTGGGGTTTTGACCACGCCCAGTTCAAAGAGGACCCCGCCCACAGTCCTTGGGAGTCCCCCGGTTTATCGCTAGAGCGAACTTATTCTCTGAATGGGAGGGGCTGACCTTGAAGGGTCTGATTACCTTGTCTCCTAGGAAGGAGGGTGCTAGGGGTCCTGCCTCCAGGAAAAGGGGGACATTGGGTGCCCGGAATTTCTAGTCTCTGGCCAAGGGGATGTTGCAGGCCTTGACTTGGCTGTGTATAGGCAGGACAGTGCTGTTGGGTCCTGGGGGAGAGTCCGGACCCCATGGCCTCCTGGAGAAGTCCTCAGGCAAGGGTCCTTTAGGCGGCTTAAATCTCTACCTCTTTGCACGTGGCCTTTCCCTTCTTTAGAGTCAACTTTCATTTATGACCCCCCGCCCCCCACCCTTGGTTTCAGTTTTGATTTGTGTGTGTGTGGGGGGGGTACAGAGAGGTAAAAGGTTCCTGTAACCCAGGCTGGCCTAGAACTCTAGGTGACTGAAGAAAATCTTGAACTCGGCTTGACCCTCTTGCTCTCATCTCCCGAATGTCAGATTACAGATATAGGCTACCACATCCAACTACCAAAATTTGAGTGTTTGTTTTGTTTTGTTTTGAGACAGGGTCTCATTATGTAGCTCTAATTGTCCTGTAGACCAGGCTGGCCTTGAACTCACAGAGCTCTGCCTGCTTCCAAATGCTAGGATCTCCCAAATGCTAGGATTAAAAGGTGTGAGCCACTATATATGGCTCTAATATTTGCTTTAAAAAAAATTGGTGTGTGTGTGTGAGAGAGAGAGAGAGAGAGAGAGCGAGAGAACTCCCCAGAGGTCAAAGAACACATGTATTCTGAAGTCTGCTGTAGAAATGCTTCCTTGTTCTACAGATTCTGGGGCTCTAACACAGGTCAAGTACCTTTATCTGCTGAACCATCTCCCTAGGATCTTCCTATATAGCTATGGCTAACCTGGCACTTGCTAAATCAGCCAGGATGGCCTTGAACTCAGAGCCTTCTTCCCTCACGGTCTCCCTAGTGCTGAAATTACAGGCTTGGGCCATCCTGCCCAGCTTACTTATTCATCTTAAAAACTGTTAGCATAGAGGAGACTCTTTGCTGGGTGCTTGGTATAGAGAGCTGTGAACCAAACAGGAATTCCCAGCCCACCAAGGGACTGACATTTTCAGTTCCCACTTGGTGACCTTCCTTGGCACTTAACTGTAATGCTAAATGTCTCTCCTGATTTCAACATTCCACCCAGCCTTGGGTCTCTCCCTCCTGCAGCTTCCTTAGCAGGTTGCTGGTTCCCTTTCTCTCCTCTGGCAGTGTGTGTGTGTGTGTGTGTGTGTGTGTGTGTGTGCATGCTTGCGTATATGTGTGTGTGCATGCGTGTGTGTATGTATGTGTGTGCATGTGTGTATGCGTGTGTGTATGTGTGTGCGTGCATGCATATATGTGCGTGTGTGCATGTGTATATGTGCATGTGTGTATGTATGTGTACACTTCTTTAATGATCTCACCCAGTCTGAGGGCTTTAAATGCTGTTTTTTAGCCATCAGCCCTCTCAGATTTACATGTCAGGACCCAACTATGGGCATTCACATCTCCAGAGAGCTCAGTCAGGATTTCCAGCTCAGTGTGCCCACATGTAGGCAACCCTCTCTCCCTCCTAAACCAACTCTTTTGAAATATCTGTCACCCTCTCTCCATCTTTCTAATCTACTCAGGTCAGAAGCTACATTCACCCTGATCCCCTTTCTAACACACACCCTCTCCAGCCCCAAATGTTATTGGCTTTGCTTCCAAAATATTTCCAGAATCTCACTCATGCCCACACTATGGTCCACCTGCCACTCCCACCCTGATCATGACAGAAGCTTCTCTGGGTGGTCTGACTCCCCCAGATTTGTTCCCCAAAGGAAGTCTTAAGGACACACATATACCCACACACAGGAAGTAGGTAGTATAGTCACCAGCCGTGTGACATCCGTCCTAGCTACCTCTCTCTCTCCTCTACCGTTCTGAGGACTTCTCTGGACCACAGTCTTTGGCCAGATCCCTTCAGACCCCAGTCCACCATGACCCTTCCAGGCCACCTCGTGTTCCTGCTTCTGCTCCAAGGTGAAGCCAGCAGTTGGGGGTTGAGGGGACAGAAAGGCTGCCATTTGATGTTGGGGTGCAGAGAGCAAGCCTTTCTCCTGTGTCCTTTTCTTTCTTGAGAGCCACTGGGTCTCAAGGTCTGGGTCCTTGAGGGTGGGGGTGGGGTTCTGGAGCTGTGAGCTCCCCTCAACGCTAGGTGACTACTATTTCCCTTTTCTGGTCACTGTCTGTGCTCCAGGAAAAACCCCATTTCCCATTTACCTCTCCAGTGTGGAGCTCAGGTCTCAAGCATCCCACCGGCCCTGCGCCTGTGTTGGGGACTTCTCCCCCCTACCCTTATCCACCTTCTCTGTCTTTCCACAGTGGCTGCAAGTCAGACGCCAGCAGGTGAGGAACGAACTTCGAATTTAGGCAGCTGCCTCCAATCCTGAAGTCTGGTCCGCAGCACTCCCCTGTCTAGAGACATTTCCCAATCCCAGCCCTTTCAGGTCCATCTTGACTCTTTACCACCCAATTGAAGTGATGGGAACAGAGATTGTTCTTAACAGATTCCTGGTGTACCCGCCCAGGGCACAGCCCTCGGGGGTTCTGTGACTCCCCAGCCGCTCTAAGCTCCCCCTCTCATTTCACTTCCTAATCCCAAAGAATCTGGAATCTACCCCCTCTCTGGGATCTTGCTGGGAGGAGCAAGGGCGGGCGGGCGTTGGGGTGGGGGGAGGCGGAGACGACGGGACAACATGACTCTCTGTGGGCAAAGAGAAAGGTCTCAGCTGCCTGCAGGTCTCGGCTCTAACCCGCAGGTTCCTGCTCCGGATGTGGGCCTCTGTCCCTGCCGCTCCTGGTAGGCCTGGTGGCTGCAGATGCGGCCTTGTCCCTCCTGATCGTGGGAGTGGTGTTTGTATGTCTGCGCCAACACAACAAGCCTGCCCACGGTGAGCAAACTCTGGGGTGCGGCCTGGAGAGTAGGTAGTAGTCCCCAGGGAAGAAGGGGGTCCCACAAAGGCAGTCCCCGGGGAAGCCCTGGAGGAGGTGCTTGGGAAACCCTGGGGGAGGTATCTGGGGAACCCCTGAGGAAGCCCCTGATGCTGGGGGTCTCCCAGGAAGGTGATGTGGGAAGGGTGGTGGGTGGTCATGCTTCATGCTCCCTCTACCCCACCCACCAGACGACGGCAGAGTCTACATCAACATGCCTGGCAGAGGCTGACCTCTGCGACTTCTGACCGCCCAGTCCTGGATCAAGTGAGGGTACCTGGGAACACACTCCTTACAGACTGGAATAAAGCTTTCAAATCCCTCTAGTCTTGTTCTTCCCAACGTCTGACTTCTTCCCCGGAAGTTGTTTCCTGATTTAATACCATTCTCGGAGCCCCGTTGTTACTCAATGCCTTACTGCAACATAGCATAACTCAGTCATGGTTTTTTATTTGGGGACAGAAGTGGGGAGAGGTCAGACATCTCATGCGGAGCGGGGGCACTGTGTGGATCTGCATCCCAGCAGTCCTGATCCCAGGGAGGGCATGCTGAGCAGGCATCAGGAATGACTGGATCCAGGCATCAGGTTGCTGATGGGCATAGGATACGCTCATTTGTAATACTGCCTCTGTGTGTTAAGATCACTGTAGACGTCTGGCCTCTGACCCTGAAGCTCCTAAAAAGACAGAAGCCATCATTGGAGTGGTCTTCGCAGGCAAAAACAAATTTAACCTCCTAATGACCTTCGAGGTCCCTGGCAGCTTCTTCAATCTTAAGATCATGAAAGAGATCCTGATTTTATTTAAACATGCCCAGCATTCCCCTCACGTCCCTGCCCCAACCTCAGGGCTTTTGCACGTGCAATTCCCTCTGCCTGGAGCACCAACTCCCTAGATCTTCAACTCCTCCTTGCCTGTCTATCTTGGACATCTCTCGGTTTCTCCATCTTTAGTCTCTTTCCCAACCCCACCATTTTCATATTGGCTTGCTTTATTCTCTCCACAATGTCCTCCCAAAATGATTTTGTTAATTGCTTCAAATCAGTCTCTCCAATTAGGATGCTGTGCTGACCCATGTAGGTCTCAACCAATCCACCGAAGGCTAAATAAATCAGGCTGACACTTTGCCCTAAAATTTCCTGACTCTCAGGAACTGGACAGTCTTCACAGTCTTCTGGGCCTCCGGAGGTCAAACTCAAGGATTTCTGTTTGTTTTGTTTGTTTCTCTGACACAGGGTTTCTCTTTGTAACCCTGGCCATCCTCGAACTCCCTGTAGACCAAGCTGGCTTCAAACTCAGAGATCTATCTGCCTCTGCCTCCAGGGTGCTGAAGTTAAAGGTGTGCCACCCACACCAGGCACTGAACCTGAGATTCTTACACTCTGCAAAGAAAACTTTTCTCCAGCAGGGAGGTGAATGGGCCAAAGTGGCGGCAGGCAGGGAGTTAGAGAGCCTTGTCTATGGCTCCAAGGGCAGACTCTCTGGTGCCAGAGACCAGTCTGTCTGTGTTTCTCTCGAGAAGGAGTTTTCTACCCCTCACTCCCATCCCAGAGGCCAGGAAGGAGTCCTGAGGCTGGTGGGACCCTGACAACCGGTTAGAGCTCTGAGACCCACAGGTGGAAGGAGAGAACGGACTCCCACAGGCCGTCTTCTGATGTCCACATGGCTGCCAAAGCATGTGCGCCCCAACCCCACCCCAAACACCCCCAAATAAAATAAATAAATAATAAAATAAATGTGATTTTAAAAATAAGAAAAGACTTGATGTTCTCCTATGGCCTTCCTACACACACACACCACACACACACATACCACACACACATCACACACCACGTACACACTACACACACACACACACACACACACACACACACACACATACACACACACACTAAAGTCTTGACAGGGAGGGAGCGGACATGATGACATTATGGATTTCAGGAGTGAGTTCAATGACAGCTTGCACTGTCCCTACCTTACATATATAACTTTGAATTAATTGTTATTTATTTACTGGGTTGACTCCAGGGCCTTGTCCATGCTAGATGAGTATAGATGGAGCCGCATTCCCATCTCACTCCACTTTTAGCTTATTTTTCTTTTTTAAAAGACAAGACAGGGTTTCATCCTGCATCCCTAGCTGGTCTGGAACTCTCTAGGTAGACCAGGCTGGCCTCAAACTCACAAGGATCCACCTGCCTCTGTTTCCCCGATGCCGGCATTAAAGGCATGAGCCACCGTGCCTGGCTCTGTTTTATATGTTTGGGATATTATATATAAACTAGACTGACCTTGAACTCACAGTCCTCCTGCCGAGCTTCCAAAATCCTGGGACAGTGTGCTAATTATTGCTAATGTTTATTTGGGCGCTGGGTATTAAATAAAGGGCTTTGCAAACACTAGGCAAGTGCTGTATCACACCATGCCATATGACACCCCTGGGCTCACCCCTATTTTTGAGACAGAGTCTCTTTCTGTGGCCCAGGCTAACCTCAAACTCTCTCAGTAGCTCAGGTTGACTTCAAACTTCCCATCGTCCTGCTTCCCAAGTTCTGAGATCACTGTACTTTTTGTGTGGAGTTTTCTGAGCCGTCTAGCTTTGACCAGCTGCTCAAAGGAACGTACGATGCCCACATCGTGCTTCTGCAATGCCAGACCCTGGTGGAGCTCCTCTCTTTAGCGACACCACACTTAGACTAACTTCTCTGCCTCACCGAGGGCTTCTCCTAATCTGACTGAGGGCCAGGCTTTCCCTAGATCAATGTGAGCCTAACAAAGACAGAGCCCCTCTAGCTGCCCCCACACATCTGAGGCTGAGCATAAAGGTCAGGGTTGATCTCTGACTATGTTGGACAGATGCCTCCTTTGATTTCAAGATTGGAGGAGTTGCTAGGGGAGGTACCTGAAGGTGCTGCAAAGGGTAGTGTGTGTGTGTGTGTGTGTGTGTGTGTGTGTGTGTGTGCATGCACGTGACTAGGAGCAGGCAAGAGTGAAGGTGGAGAAAGAGCTGATGTTCTTACCTGATAAGGTGACTCCGTCTCAGCAATGCGTTGTTTCCGGGTCCCTACAGAGGGATACAGAGTATAACAAGGTGTAAAGATGGGCTAAGCTGTGAATTGGGACCATTTTGTTGTGTTGTTCGGTTAGTTGTTTGGTTGACTGGTTTGTTTGGTTTTCCAAAACAAGATTTCTCTGTATAGCTCTGATTGTACTGGAATTCACTCTAGACCAGGCTGGCCTCGAACTTACAGAGATCCACCTGCCTCTTTCTCCCAAGTGCTGGCATTAAAGGTGTGTGACACCACTGCCCCTGTTTTGGTGTTTTAAAACCAGCTCTTCGGGCAACTTGAGAGATGGTTCAGCAATTAGAAACAGATACTGCTCTTGCAGAGGACCCAAGTCCAATTCCCAGCACCCACACTGGGTGGCTGGATCACTTGTAACTCTAGTTCTAGGGCATCTGGTGCCACCTTCTGGCCTTGGAAGACTGCAGTGTGTGTATGTGTGTGAAGGTGTAACTCAGTTGGTAGGAAGTACTTGCAGTACAAATGGGAGGCCCTGTCTGGGTCCTCAGCATTAAGGGAAGAAACAAAACAGCCAGCAATTACAAGGCAGCCCTCCCATCCTTAGCCCCAGTCCTTTAGATATCCGTGACCTTAGAAACTTCCCACACTCCCCAGTTTCCAGCAAGCGAGCACCCGCAGACCCCACTCACCCTCTGCAGTGCCCCGGCCACGGCCTCGAGGGATCAGGCGGCCCAGAGAGTATACAGCCAGAGCAATGAGCAAGGTCAGCACCAAGTCACCCAGCACAATCCCAGCCAGCACGCCTGGGCTCACGGGAGAGCAGTTGCACTCTGGGAAGGTGTCACAGAAGGATGAGAAGGGGCAACATAGGTTGACAGTCAGGGACTGGGTGTTAGCAGAGAGAGGGTTAGAAGAAGGAAAAGGGGGTGACATGAAGTCTTTGAGAGGAAGGGAGAAAGATTCAGGGTATCATGGCTTACCACTCTGGGCCTGGACGGGACTTAATCCTAAAGAGGAAAAATTAGGTAAACTGAGGGAGGTAGAGGCAGGAGAATCAGAAGGTTAAGGTTATCCTCAACTGCATAGCAAGTTTGAAGCTAGCCTGGGCTATATGAGATTCTGTATCCAAAAGGAAGACGTAAATTGAGGCCCATCAGACAGTGGATGTAGAAGCTGGAGACTCAGGAGAGCGCAAGTCTCCTAGCTCCCAGGGGCTGGAGCAGAGGTGACTGGCCAGGTGACATGTCAGCTTGTCTTGTCTGGTTGAGATGTCCCCTCTTCTGCTCCTACCAGGTTCCAAATCCTGGGGTCTCCAGCTCAGGGAGAGACCCACAGGCACTAGAGGAACCTTCTTCCGCCAGCCCTCCCCTTTGTTGTCCTGTCCTGTTCCTTCCTGCTCTCTGCCCAGCCCTGGCCCCAACCTGAGTTGGACGCAGCAGACAGCTGTGGAAGCCCCCGACTCACCTCCCACGGTCAGAAAGACAGGAAGGAACAGAAGGTGACGGGAGGGCTCCAGGGCCCCCATGGTGACCAGATGTGCACTGGACACCACAGTCCAGGGGCTGGTGGTGTCACGTCCAACCAAGTGAAGGAGGAAGTCTGAGGTGGGTGGTGGCAGCGGGAGGAGGGGACAGCCGCGGGGAGGAGGGACACATAGAAAGAATATGGCCGAGGGGCTGGGCCACAGACCTGATGGGCTGGACAAGAAGGACAGGGATATTCACCACAGCCCCTGATCTTCAGCTCCAGACAGAGGACAATATTATAACAGCAGGGACAATGGGTGACAATGGCTGAAAGCAGTTCAGCCTCTTCTGGCTGGGCCACCTTGAAAAGTCACTTAGCCTCTCTGAGTCTCGATTTTTTTCATCCACCAGCTTGAGAGTAAAATCGTACCTTTTGTTTGCAGGGTCGTTTGCTAAGTGACATTCCGAGAGCAGGGTCCAACACGTCCCAGTCCTGTAAGCATCAGCTACAATTATTTGGTAATCAAATCCCTAATATGGCCACCGGCTACTAAGAGAAAGCATGGGCAGGAGCCCTTATGACGGTGCTCTCAGCCCACAGTATTCTCCTGAGGTAAATAATGCCTTTCTCTCTCCCGTTTTACAAAGAGGTACAGCTACACAGGAAAGCAGAGATAGGGGACCCAAGACCTGAAAATGGCCATTTCAGAGCGGGAAAATAGATGAAAGGCAGAGAGAAAACAACAACAAAGCGAAGGGGGTGAGAATTCGTGCCACAGATGTGCACGCCACAGAGACAGAACTAGGGCTTGAGGTGAGGCAGGTGGTGGCCATG